GTGACTCTGTGTGTAAGCCAAGGGCTGTATGTGTGTGGATTTGAATAATCGTTTTGTGTAACTAAGGCTAGAGCCTTAGAAACTTGTAAACCCTTGGAGGTATTTATTTGTTTATGTACTTATTGTTGGATTAATGTATTGTTGCGTGAAGAACTATTGTATCATGTAATGTAAATTTAGAGATTTATATTCGGTTTTCCTTGAAAGAGCCATGATTGTTGTGTTATCATTCGGGACAGAAATTTGGGGCGTTACACTATCTGCCATTGATCGTCGGTGACTTTTCTAACACTGGCTATTTTTTGGTGACTTTCCAGCGCAAGCGATGTGGGGCGATTGATACTAACGTATGAGAATAGATAAGGAAAGTAAAGATTTAAAAAAATGTACAAAGGTAAAAGTAAAATAAAAAAATTAAAGTAATAATTTATACTTTTCACTAATATATTTAGCTAATCATATCTTTAAAGTCAAAACACATCATTGTTTTTTTTTTAAACTCATTTTTAAACATATAATGATAAAATTCAAATATTTAAAATAAAGTTAATTAAAATAACATAATAAATATCACATTAATACATAAAAAATAATTTATGAAAGTTATTAATTTATGCATTTGGATCATCTCCAAATGTTTGTAACATCTGCATAACGTGTGCCCAAAAGCTACCATGCGACGTGGTTTTGACTCTTTGAATGAAATCACCCAAACCACGCTCAAAATCTCAACCTCATAGCCAGGTAGTAACAATTCAATGTGTTTGATTTGAGTTTTTTGAATTAAGTTTTTTGAAAATTAAGTTTTTTGATTTTCGCATTTTTTTGTTTTTAGTGAATATTTTTAAAATTTTAAACAATTTTTTTTTTACTTTTTTAGATGCACCTTACTTAGATGTATCTAAAAAATAAAAAATTTGTGAAAAAATATTTTTTAAAAATTAATAAATACATAAAAATACAAAAAATGTACTGATTTTTTTTTTTTTGGGTATTTAGTGAATTTTTTTCACAATTTTTTTTTTTTTTTTACTTTTTAGGTATATTTATGTTAGGTATGTCTAAAAAGTAAAAAAAAAAAATTTCTTAAAATATTAAAAAAATTCAGTAAAAACAAAAAACACGGAAAACAATAAGAAAGTAGAATTTTCTGAAAAGTGTTTTTGGAAAAATGGAACCAAGCAAAACATATTAATATTCTTGTGATAAAGCTTGAGTGGTTTGGAAAGTTGGTAAAAAGCTGACTTTTTGGCTTTTTTAGTCTATTTTGTCTTTTGGTGAATAAAAAATGTGATAGGTGATGTGATCCAAAATGGGTAAAAAGTTAAAAGCTTGCTTTTTATTTTCTTCCCAAAAGACATGTTTGAAATGATCATTTGGTTATCCCTAATTTAAAAAGATTTGAGATTATTAAATTTATAGTTTTTATAGATGGGTAATTTATGGGAAATTCTAATATACACATTCTTCAAAAGGGTGCATCATATGCACCGTAGATATGCACCCTAGATATGACATTTTTTTTTCTCTTTAGTTATAATTAATTTTTTTTTTTTTTTAGTTATGACATTATTTTAGTTATGACTCATGAATTTTTTAATTATACCTCATATTGTGTTTGGTTATGGCATTTTTCTTTTATTTTTTTAGTTATGCTAAAAAATTATAAAGTTATGCTATTTTCTTCTTAAGTTATAAGATGTATATGATACATACCTAGGTGTGTACCATAGTATTTTTAATAATTTATAGTTGTTGAATAAACGGTGTCCAGATTTTTTAGATCCCTTACAAATGGAAAAGAAGAATATCCAATTTCCTTTTAAAAGATGATATAAGAATACTTGTGTATCGCTATAGTTGTTTCTACTAATCTCGTTACAATCTTCAATCTTTATGTTAACTGCAATTTGTTAAAATTTATTTACTAACATGAGATTTAGATTCACAATCCAAAACAAAACAAAAACAAATACAGAGATTTAAATTTATAATGACAAATTTGTAGTATATCATTTGATGAAATTTATGATGCACTAATTTGAGGAGATGGTTAAAAGTTAACTTTTTTAGTTTTTTTTTTTTAAAATGTGTAAAAAATGTGAGAGGTGATGTGACTCAAAATAGGTTAAAAACTGGCTTTCGGATTTTAACCCTCTTCGCAAAAAAAAAATAAATAAATAAATAAAAAAGATGTGTTAATCTCTTTCTCTCTCCCCCATCTTTTACAGCTTCCATCATAAACCACCGCCTCCTTCCTCGCCAACCACCACCTCCCTCTCTATTCACCAAATCTGAAATCACCATCAAACCCAGAATCACAACCACAAACTCATCACCACCAACATCAAATTTGAACCATTTTGGTAATTTATACGTAATTATTCAATGGAAAATAGCACTCCATCAACATTGCTCTTTCAAATCAATATAAAAGAAGCCAACAATTTTTGGTGCTACAAGGTAGGTATATTATTCAAGAAAAATAAAAATAAAAGCAGCACAAAATAAAATAAATAAGATGACAACAAAGAGAGAAGCCACGCCATATGTGTGTGGTTCGGTTACTACCATACACACATGGCACACAAAAGCCCTAAGGGTACATCTCTCTTTTTATTGATTTTCACTCTTCAGTATTTATTCTTATAATAAAAATCCCTATATGAAAATTATATTTCAGTAGGTAATAGAGAGGATTGGGTTTTATCTAATATCTAACATATCCTTACTAAAAAAAATAGCTTTGCACTGTCTTTGAGGCTCGAGGTTTGCTAAGTGCACAAAATTAGTACACAGAAAAATATGCAGAATAGAAAGGGTTCAGTTTTGTGCATTTTCATGGACAGCAGTTCTGTGCACATAGGTGAGGCTCTACGGAATTTTTCGGGTGGATAACAATTGAGAAACAATGTGCATGGTTGGCCTAGATTGTGGATTGACATGCAAACATGCAATTGCCAATTTTACACTACACATCACTACCTCCTCAACTTCAGGGGAGGGAGGTGAAAGGCGTTGGTCCAACACATCCTTTAGCTGTATGTTTTCAACAGCTGGGGTCAACAGGGACATGATGAAGTCTCCCGGATGCTTTCCTTTGATCACTTCCAGTGCCAACACACCAAAGCTGTAGACATCACACTTTTCAGTTACTTTCATTGTGTAAGCAAGCTCTGCAAAAAAAGAGAGACAAGGTAATGCACTTGTTTTGTTATGCTTCAGATTCTATGTCAATTTAGGAGAGCATAAAACTATGTTTACCTGGTGCAACATATCCGTATGTGCCTGCAAATGCACTCCAGTTAGAGGAATCTAGCTTCAAAAGCTTGGCAGTGCCAAAGTCTGAAACACGAGCCTCGTACTCCTTATCAATCAGAACATTGTTGCTGGAAATGTCTCGGTGAACAATGGGCGGTGTGCAATCATGGTGCATGTATGACAAAGCGCTTGCCACACCCTTAATAATATTCACCCTCTTAAGCCAATCCAATTCTTTAGCTTCTTCGTCTTTGTTAAAAATTGTAGCCAAACTACCTCTTTCAAGGTACTCATAAACTAGAAAAGAATGCCGATGTGAACAATAACCAAAAAGCTTCACTATGTTTCGATGCTTAATTTCTGTCAATGCCCTTACCTCATTTAAGAAATCTTTCCTATCAGCTCTCTCGGATAACGGATGAAGTTTCTTCACAGCTACTATATCAGCTGATGGTAACTTCGCTTTGTAGACAGTTCCATATCCTCCTTTTCCAATGCAATATGTGGCATCGAAATCATTGGTAGCTTTTACAATGTCATTGTACATTGCTCTTCCATCAAATATTGATATCGATAACAAATCTTCTTTCGAGGGTTGGGTGTCACCCTCTTCAACTTGTGACTTTGTCTTTCTAGAATTGAACATGATGAGAAGTCCAATGAATGCACCTAGAAGTAAGAGTGCTCCACCAAGAGGGAGTATGATTACAAGAACAAGTGTCCTTTTTTCTAGAGTGTGTTTGTGCAATGTAGAAGGAACTTTGCAAGGCTGCAGGCCTTTGACATTTCCACATAGACCTTTGTTCCCTTGCAGTGCTTCTATTGATGCATTCATGAAGGCGTTGCTCATGGGAATAGGACCTTGCAACTGATTGTATGATATATCAATAAATGCCAAGCCATGCATATCTTGAAAACCCTTTGGAATGAGACCAGAGAGATTATTGTGGGAGAGGTTCAACTTCTCCATGCTCTGCAAATTTGTGAGTTCTGATGGTATTTCTCCTGTAAGAATATTTTTACTCAAATCCATTTCGGTAAGGTGAAATAACTTACCCATTTGAAATGGAATTTTCTGGCTCAACATGTTGTTGCCCAAGTTCAAGTAAAACAGATTCAGATAATTCTGCAGAACACTCGGTATTGACCCATTGAATCTATTTGTGGACAGATCAAGATATGAAATCCCAGTTAGTGATTCAAGTTCTTGAGGTATACTGTTGGAAAGTTGGTTATCAGCTAAAATCAACATCTCTAAAGAAGTCAACTTTCCAAATTCCTTTGGAATCTCCCCAACTAAACGATTTGAAGACAGATCAAGTCGATGTAGTTGTATTGAATTTCCAAGCCCTGGTGGAATGCTACCAGTGATGTTGTTCCTTGTTAAGTTTAGGTTTTCCAAATTTGGAAACCTTTCCCAAATTTCTGATAATTCACCATAAAATTTGTTGTTACCCAAATGTAGGTAGATCAGGTTTGGATAGGTGCCCAAATCTTCAAATATATTTCCAGTTAATTGGTTTTCATCAAGATGGACTCTGATTAAACTTGAGCAGTTTTTTAGACTTTTGGGGATTGTACCTGTGAGTTGGTTGTGGTTGACACTGAAGTTTTGAAGTTTACCACCTTGGCAAAGCTCTGGGAGATTGCCAGAAAACTGGTTGTTATCAATTTGTAGTACAAGCAAGTTTTTCAAATTGCCAAATTCATTTGGAATGGGACCGTAAAGTTGGTTTGAACGAAGGAAAAGAATATTTAAACTAGACAATTACCTAATGAAGCAGGAAAAATGGAACCGCTAAGTTGATTCTCGTTAATTCCAGATCATTGAGGAACTTCAAATTTCCTAGCTCTTTAGGAATTGGACCAGAGAGTTGGTTATTATAAAGATGAAGGAGTATTAGGGAGCTCAAATCACCAAAAGATGTTGGAATTGAGCCAGTAAGATTGTTGGTTTGAAAGCTTAGGTACTGGAGTGATTTCAACTTTCCTATCTCTCGGGGAATGGAACCAGATAGGTGATTGCTGAACAAGTGCAACACAGTTAACTTATTCAATTTTCCAAGAGTGGAAGGGATGGGACCTGTGAAATTGTTGGTAGCCATGTGAAGCATGACAAGATTGACAAGGTCTCCCGCTTGGGGAGGGATGGAACCAGAAAGATCATTATTATAGAGATGTAGACGAGCCAAGTTTCTCAAATTTCCCAAAGAAGCGGGAATGGGTCCAGAAAGATTGTTGGTGTACAAAGCAAGCTTAGTAAGAGACTTTAACTGGCCTATCTCTTGAGGAATTGAGCCATTCAATTGATTTTCGCCTAGGTAGAGAGTGTCAAGATTTGTTAACATGCCGATTTCTGGTGGGATGTTTCCCGAGAACTGGTTAATGAACAAATCAAGACGAATGAGTTTGGAGAGGGAGCCAATTAGAGGTGGGATGACACCAAAAAGATTATTGATGCTGAGATCGATATATGCAAGATTGGGAAATGATGAAAATGAAAAGTTGTCGAGCGTACCATTTACACTCGAATTTGTGAGGTTCAATGTATTGACGCTTCCATCGAAGTTGCAAGTAATTCCGAACCAGCTACATGGGCCGATACTTGTTGAGATGTTATCATGAGGTGAAAGGACCCATGAAGTTAGCGGGGAATGGTTTGGACTTTGCAGGGTGGCTTTCCATGCGATGAGAGCATTAGCTTCTTGAGCAAAAGCAGTAGCAACGATAATGGTTGAAGAAAAGAGTATAACAAACAAGACTAAAGAAACAGGGCAGAGTAATTTCTCTAAACGTCCCATTGTTTTTTCTTTTTTTCGCCTTTTGATGGATAACTAATGGGCGGTTCAAGGCTTTAATTTATAAACAATCTTTTCCACAAATCTGGTTGCCATATCAATCACCATAGACTTTGACTATGGAAGTCTTTTTAATTACGCCCCACACATATATATATATATATTTTTTTTTTTTTCCCTTTTGATGGATAACTAATGGGTGGTTCAAGGCTTTAATTTATACACAAATTTTTTCACAAGTCTAGTTACCATATCAATCACCATAGACTTTGACTATGGAAGTCTTTTAAATTAAGCCCCACATATATATACTAGGTAAGTAGGCCATGCAAGGCACCAGCGAGTCTGTCTTTTTTTCTTTTTGTTTTAAATTAAAATCTGTTCTTTTATTTTTATTTTAAGATAGTGTTTGTTTGATAAAAGAAAAAAATCATTAAAGAAGAATATTTTTATTTTAATTCAATGGTATTGGTTAAAGAATAATGATTATTTGGTGTGTATTATACCATCATTCATATGTATACATACATTTCCTTCCGTCCCAATTTATTATTCTAACTTTTTAAGAGGCTTATGGAGCCTATCATATTAAGAGTAGTCATCACATGAGATAATTGTTCAATAAGGGAAATTAGAGGAATGTGGAGGGCACAATCGGAAACAAAAAGACGAGCCGAATTAAGCAAAGCAATTCCTAAACTCGAAACCCTAGTTAAAAAGGGCCCGTGCAAGACATGGGCTATTATTACGGTATATTTAAGTTGTGTATTTTGATAATTTGTCAAAAATAAAAATATTGTTCGATGAAATTGAATATAATGAATCATTAGATATATGATAGAATTATATAAATTTTATTATACATTATAGAAATTAGAAAAAAAATAATAAGTCTTACAATTTTAACATAATTATACTTTTTCTCTTTTTAGTAAGACTAAAATTTTAAAGGAGTCCAATATAATTATATCGAATTTGTGTAAGTTAATATATTTTTAACACTCAAGTGTTTGTTCATGTCCATTTGTACTATTGTCTATATTCATATCAATTTCAAATAGTCACCAAACTAATTATTCAACATTTTTTTTTTTGTTTTATATAAGTATCTTTTGGGTTAGTTCATTTTGAAAATGGATTCTTATTCACTATTATAAAGAAATGGTCATTTTATCGAGAGACTATTGAATGATCATTCAACTTTCATTAATTGCGACTTATGATTTTGACACAAACCTGTCAACCTTTACAATTTTTAATCACATAACAAATGACATATTTCATTAATTAACCAATAAGTCAAATAATAGTTTTAAATGATGTCAAAAATATATTTTAATTATCAGCTCTGGTGATTTTATTGTTGTGTAGGAGAGTAATTAAAAGTTTTTATTTTTTCTGTTATGTTTGGTAGTTTGTTACACACCTAATGGTATAGAATCCAATTCTCTTGTTACATTGTCATTTTAAACCTCTGACCACACACATTATACAAATTACAAAAATCCAAAACTCTTAAAATTATGTCACATCATCCGTTAGTACATTAATTAGTATACCAATAGATGCATATAGCATTATCAATTTTCCTTATTTCACCAACCAAGTTAAAAGACAAAGTAAGAAATTAAAAAACAAGCTAACGGTAAAATAGACGATCCAAAACAAACCTTCACAACCAAAGCAACCAAAATATCTTACATAATTTTCAAAATGCAACCACCCAAATTGTTTCACCAACCAAACTAAAGCATAAGATAGCAATTTCAAAATAAGCTAAGGGTAAAATAGGAATAAGAAAAACAAGCCACAAGTATGAAAGAGATTCTTATATATATACTAGGTTGGTTGGCCCATGCTTGCACGGGCAAGTTGGGCGCATTTTTTTTAATTAAAATTTATTTTTTTGATTTGAAGATTTTTTTTTGTAGAAATATAGTAGATCATGAAAAAAATATCATGAAGTGTATCATAAATTTTTACATATTTTGTTAGTGTATGGTGTTTTATTATATATATATATATATATATATAATTTAAATGTGGAGAATCTTTCGTGATATTTTTTTCATGATCAGCATTATTCGTACACATATTTATTTGTAATAAGAATGCAAATATATAGAAATAGTAATAACAACTGAAACTAATAGTTGTTATGATTTCTTCCATTTTTAATTTTTAATTTATATGCAAAACATGACAAATTTTACAAATAATTTTTGATTATTTGTAAAATTTATGTTACGTGAGACTTGATTTGTTAATATTTTAATTGTGTCAACTAAAATAGTCAAATTTTTTTTTTATAAAATTAAGAACTTATAGTTTAATTTGTTAAAATTACACAAACGATAGTTATAATTTCTAGTATTATAAGACTGATTCATATTTTAAATAAACTTTATAGGTGCATTTGTAATTTGTTGAAAAATAAAATATTTATGTTTCATAATTGACCAAGAATGTTTGTGTAATTACAAAAAAACCTATTTCGTAATTGACCAAGAATATTTGCGTAATTACGAAAAAATCTGTTGCATAATTGACTATAAACCTCAGGGGGCAAATTGTTATGAAAATACAAACCTCAGGGGGCGGGATGTAATTTCCGAAACCTCAGGGGGGTATCTGTAATTTAGCCAAACCTCGAGGGGTGTATATGTAATTTGCCCTTTAAATAAACTTTATAGGTGCATTTGTAATTTGTTGAAAAATAAAATATTTATGTTTCATAATTGATCAAGAATGTTTGTGTAATTACAAAAAAACCTATTTCGTAATTGACCAAGAATATTTGCGTAATTACGAAAAAATCTGTTGCATAATTGACTAAGAATGTTCACGTAATTACGAAAAAACCTTCACTCAACATAATTGACCAAGAATTTCGAATATTTGACTTTTATTCTAATATTTATATCCGAACACTATTTGTAGTGTGTACCGAGAATTTGTACCATGTGCAAATAGAATTACCAATACCTCTATGAAAGTTGATTTTCCCAAAATAATCCTCAAAATTCCACCCAAAAAAAAAAAAAAAAAAAAAAAACCAAAAAAAAAAAAAAAAAGAAGAAGAAAGGAAATTAAAAACAAAGCAAGGGCAAAATAGGAAACTGAAAGACAAGCTTTTTTGGCTGTTGGTGGTGAAGCACCACTTATATATATAGCTACATATCATTTCCGGAGGGAAAAGTCGAAGTCTTTGTCTCATTTAACAAAGGCAAACTAATCCTTCTTCTCTTCCATTCCATCACTAACTTTGGGGAAGTGCTCTGCAAATTGTTGCTTTGCAGTATTCTACTCGACTGTACGTAACTCCACTCTATTTTGATGCTTTCTGGGAATAAAAAAATATTTGAAACTGTGCTAATGGTTAAAGCAGCTAGTACAAGATATGAATGTTTTATAGCAGATTTTGTATGTTGTTTTTTTTTTTTTTTTTTGAGAATAAACAATATATATATATATATATGAGATCATAAAGAGTTTACAGACTTCGCCAGCTTGTGGGCTGGCTCCACCACTTGTCTATGTGCTTCCGAAATTCATAGAAAGTCAAATAACTCACTAAGAACCAAAATATCCTGAATTACAAGGTCCACATTCCATTCCCGATCACATCTACTGGACAGGCTTTCTACCAAAACTTTGCAATCTGTATGTTAGAATAACTATATAGAGAAGGGGAGAGAATCAATTATGTATATATTGATGTTATTATTGATTGTTATCTATTTTGATGTATTGTATGTACATTATATAGGAGATGGAGATGTGAAGTGGAGGTGGAGTGGTGGAGTAGGTGAAGTGGAGTGTGTAGTGGAGTAGGTGAAGTGGAGGTGGAGTGGTGTAGTGGGTTAGGTTTAGTGGAGTAGGTTTAGGTGTACATTAACAGCCCCCCTCAAACTCAAGGAGGATAGGAACTAACCAACTTGAGTTTGAAGAGAGTAACAAAACAGGAAAGTAAACTGATAAATAAAATAAAACAGGATAGGAGACATGGTATGGTCGTGTCAGACCGTTGTAGGAGACACTTTTATGGGGTCATGTCGGATCGGTGTAGAAGACAGTTTACGGGGTCATGTCGGACCGTTGTAGAAGATTGTGGTGGTGCACCAAGGGGGCAACTTAGGGAGTCGCTCATCATGAGCGACTTATACATGATACTGTGTATAACCCCCCCTCAAACTCAAATAGGTGTGAAGATAGAAACCTATTTGAGGTTGAAACAAAGGGATTGATAAAGCTGACCGGTGTAGAAGACACTGTATGAGTGTGTATATAGGCTGCCCAAAAGATATACATGGATATAGATATCGAGCCCTCAAAAGTCGTGCCCTCAAAAGGTGTGCCCAAAACCTCAAAAGGCGTGCCATCAAAAGGCGTGCCC